ACATACAAACATACATACATCTATCTATATCTATATATCTCTATATATACACACACATACAGGCGGACTTCAACTTACAACCACACTGAACCAAGAGACTTATGACCTGTTAGAGCCGCCGCAGCCTCCCTGCAGTCACATGATCAAATACTCACGTTTCTTCCACTTGCCTATCTGTCTCCTGCACCCATTTATGATCTTAAATGCCAGGGAAGTCACATGGTGCAAGACAAAGCAGCCAACCCACCCCAGGGTCGAACACCCTGGAAACTTCCACAGTGCAGCACAAAGCAGCTGACCCATCGAAAGTTCCAAATGCCCAGGGGACTCCAAGGGTGTAAAGCGTTCCCCCTCATCCCAAGCTGCTATTTCCACTGAAGCTGATCACCTCCAGGAACATGTGCTCAATGGTTTTAACCCAGGGAAGTCAACCTGAAACTTCTTAAAACTATTAAGCTTTACAAGGCATGCCCTGTCCGACTCTTTGCAGGGAAAAAGAGGAAATGGGAAATGCTAAAGCCAGCTGAAACGTTTGCTTTTAGGATCGAGGGTGCTTTGCGCAGCCTTGGGAAATTGTGCTCTCTTCACAGAGCTGGGGCAAAGTGAGGCAAGCTCTTCTTTTTCCCACCCACCCGTCTTTCAGCCCAGTCTTTTCGGGAAAAGGGGCATTTTAAGACACTGCTGTTGAGCTGCTCCTTTAGCATTTTTCATACAGGGCTAGGCTGGTGAAGGTCAGTTGGCAGGACAGTGTGGGCAGCTGGGTTGGAGCTTCCCAGGCATTCAGGGTTCATGATGGGAGAGCTGCGTTATGCCTCGCTGTGGAAACTTCCCAGGTGTTTTGTTCTTGCTGAGAGCTGTCTTTCGCACTGTTTCGCTGCACTGCAGGGCCAACTACAGCTTCTTTCCCTGGCCTCTCTTCCAGTCTGTGCCATACCACAGCACCCCCACAACTTGCATGTGGCCTGTGCCAAGCACCCCCCAGAAACCTTTCCACCTCCCAAATCATCCTGTATCCTGCTTAACAACCAGTATGGTCGCTTAACAACCATGCCCGGGAAAGCCAAGATGGTTCTAAGGTTGAGTCAGGTCACCTGATGATCTGCTTAATAACCACCACAACTTAAGAACTTAGCTAACAACTTAATTTCCAGGGTCAATTGTGGTCACAAGTCAAGGACTACTTGAATATGGAATAACACATATTTATTCACTTAGTTTAGTACCAACAGTTTTTTTTCTTACATAGATGACCAGCATAATATTCCTTCATCATATATTTGATAACATCAATTTAATTTTGAAAAAAAAAACATCTTCTCAAATAATGTACTGTACACCCATGTGGTATACTACAAAAATTAAAATTAAGAATGCACAAATGAATCTATTTTAGAGGCACACTATCATAGTTTAATGTTGAGATTTTGCACTAATGTCATAGAATTATTCACATTCAGAACATAACCACATCAATGAGGTTTTTCCAAAAATTCTTTACAGCATCTGAGACATTGCTGATAAACAGTTTCAAAATCTTCATCATTTCCCTGGAGGTGGAAAGAAAAAAAAGAGAGAAAATACAGAATCCCAAATTACAAACATTTTTTTCTTACAAATAACAGTAATTAAATAGATTAAATGAGAAAATACTTACATAATATGGATCTTCAATAATAAGCTGTTTCTCTGGATCATAACTACCAAGGAGTTCAATTTGAGCTTTGCAATTTTTAATTTGATTGCATTTTCTTCTCAAGTCACTAAAAAAGATTAACTTTTCATTAAGTAAAGCAGGAGTCTTCAAACTTGACAGCTTTAAGGGTTGTGGACTTCGACTCCCAGAATTCCTCCTCCAGTCATGTTAGCTAAGGAATTTTGGGAGTTGAAGTCCACAAGTCTTAAACTTGCCAAGTTTGAAGATCGTTGAAGTAAAGCATATATTTTTATCAGTATTGCTTATATAAAAGAAACACTTGCTATTAGAATGGTGTAATAGACTCCTCTAACAACAAAGGCATCTATTCACAATGAGATCCAGAGTGAGGAATTTTCTATGGCTTTCAAGCATTTTGCCAAGTAGAAATGGAAATATGCTAATAATTCATTTTGGAAGAAAAATTAGGAAGAAAGCAACAAGTATCTTACAGTTTTACTCTCAGGCAATAAAATGGGATGAAAAATCACGTGTAAAAATGTGGCTTCAGGTACCTGCCAGTAGGAAATGGCAAACTTCTTGCAACTATCCAAAAAGGATAATTGTCAGAAGGACTCATTTAAAGTAGGCAAGCCCTAATTAATTTGTGATCCAGCCCTTGACTTGATGCAAAAGAGAGAACCCTAAAGCAAAGGGAAATGTATGAATTGTACAGGGAAGTTGCAATTAAGGGATGTTTGTCTGTCAAATACAGAATTACAATCAAAGCTCTGGAGATGAAGTAATGGAGCTGTATTATGAGTTTTCCCACAGCCACGTTAAAGTACTATCCATAAGTCCTTTAACTAGCATGCTTAACCAGCATATTTGCTGCACCTATCCTACCACAGGCATAACTCTGCCAAATGGCTATGACCTTAAAAAGGTCATTACTAAGACTAATTTTTCCCTGTGCACCACGTTAAGGAAAGTGACAAGGGTACTTCCGGTTTGGGCTTCTTCTGCGATGGACCGAAATCCGCGATCGTGCGCAGTTTTGATCTGTGCTCGCCGCTGGAGCGCCCCGAGCCGCTTGGATTTGGGTCTGAAACCACCCCGTAGAGGTGGTGAAGGGGGAGACCACCAGCAGGGTTGAGGAGAGCTGCATCTCTCCTTCTCAGCTGGCCATTACTCCCTTTTCCAAAGGCGGCTGCAGCAGTAGTCAGAAATGGCCACCTCAAAGAAGAACCCGACCGGACAAGATTGTGCAGGAGGAAGTTAAAAGGAGAAAGTTTGACTGACCAGGTTGAATGGAGGAAACATCTATTTAAGGTACCCTGGAACTTGAATTACTAAGACTAATATTATTCCTGAAGATTTTTTAAAGCGGGGAACGAGAAAGGGAAAGGAAAAAGATTTGGTTTCTTTTCTCTCACATTGACAGCTTTAATTGATTTTGAACGTTAAGAAGAGAGCTAAACAAGAAATTGATATTAATCCACTTTGACATCAATAGGCAATGTTAAGCTGAAAATAAAGTGTCAAAGGGGTAATAAAGACTCTTGGACAATTTAAAAAATACAAAAAGGAGGAAAGGAGAGAGAGAGAAAGAAAGAGGGTGGAATCTGGAAAAATAGAGACCACCTGGAAGTAAAAAGAATTAACAGTGGAATTTCAACGACTTGTAAAAGATACAGTATAGTTGAAACTTTGTTACAAGATAATAGAGCCCCTGGCAAGAGAAAGTGAAAAAAGAAGCAAGAAACAACTTTGGATTATTGGGTAATCCTCGGAATTTTGGATGGTGGATCCTAATGAAATGAACTAAAATCAATTGGGGGTTGTTTAAAAACTTTTAAAATAGCATCACTCCTCTAAGAGTTAAAAATGAGACTTAAAGAACAAAAAGAAGACGCACAAGAGGGAAGAGGATCTTTTGGCTTCATATTTCAATTTTTAGAAATGGAGATCTTGAGCTATGAAAAACAACAAGAAGCAGAACAAGAAGGGCAGGACAAAGAAGAAGCCATCTTTAATGGCCAAGCAACTTTTAAGCGGGGTGAAAAAGGGAAAGCGGGGAAAGGGAGTTAAAAACTTAAGACCAGAAGCAACAACCAAAAAAAAGAGTAGAAAAGTAATTATAACATTAGGAAGAAGCAGAAGGGAGGATCACAGAAGGGAGAATCAGAGAGAAAGGGGAACAAAAAGAGGAGGGGAAAAGGAGAGGAGGAAGACAGAAAGGAAAAGAAGTTATAAAGGACAGAAACAAGATATAGAGAAGCAGAGAAAAAGTACAAAGATTAAAGATATAAGCCTATTTAAAAGATACAGAGACAATGATTAAAAATTTAACTGAGAGGATTCTTCAAGGGTACATGAGATAGCATGGTGATATTAGAAATAGAAAAGAGTTAGAAAATATGATAGATGATTATAAAATTGTATTGTTATGTAATGGAATACTTGTTAGTAATTAAATGAAACAAAGAGGATAAGACAATAAGGCTCCCAATGATTTTAATTAAAAATAATAATAATATATACAAAATTGAAAAAAAACATGAAAGTTTTTTTAATGAAATTAATATCAGTTGACAGGATGAATTCGATTAGAATAATTTTACTGACCACTGTTAAGAATTATTGATTTTTTTTCCCTTGCTTTGAACTTAATGAGTTAGATAATTTGAAATATAAGTGATTAAAGTGAATGACAATTGATACTTTTAGGAATGTTTGTTAAAAGATGGAAATATTTAAAAAAAGAAACGTTAAAAATTGTTAGTGATATTAATGGCTGAGCTGAATTTGAATTAATAATTATTTTATCTACTATTGTTATACATATATACTTATATACCTATGTGTGTGTGTGTGTGTATGTATATTTCAAGAACTTAGTGTGTATTTTTAAGGGAATGTACCAAGCAGAATTCAGTTGACAATACTTATGTGTTATAAAATAGAGGTCAGAAAATGAATATTATAATTGTGAAGGCATAAATTAAATCCTAAATAAGATTTGTATGGATAATAAGTAAAAGATACAAAGGTGTTGTACTCCAGTCTAGTAACTACAGGGAAAAATATAAAAATGTTGATTAGAAAGATACTGAAATTCAGGAAAAGATATGTAATTAAAATTAGAAAGGAATGAGATAATTAAAAATAAGGTTGCAGAAAGCAAGGGAAGGGAAAAATTACTGAGAAAATGGGAAAATAGTTATAAGATATGGAATAGAATATACAAGAATATGTAATTGAGTTTATGTCTGCATGGAAAAGTGACAACCCGGGATCATGCTGTTCTCAAAAAAAGATATCTTATTTGTATTATGTTTTGTGAAAACCCAAATAAAACTTTATTTAAAAAAAAGGAAAGAGACAAGGAGATTCCCCCCAGCTCTACTTCCTTCCTGTTCCATCACCAGCTATGAGGAAAACATTTACCACTCATTCATATGGAATGGGACCGAGGAGGAAGTGACTTCTAACAGATGGCTAGGCTGGTGGATTTAATGATCTGTTAAAATTCACTCTGGCATTGTGCACAAGCATTGCACAAGTGCATTCACAGAGGCTTCTACTGGATGTGGATTTAAAGCTCAGAGTGTTAAATCAGTTGTTGCTGACAGGCATGGCAGAAGGGAGGTGCTGTGTGAAATGGTAGAGAGGAAGCTGGTCGTGGTCAACTTAGTTTGAACTAATCAAGGCCTTTCTGCCTGGAGAACTAATAGGTAAAGGGAAGAGCCTGGGTGAATACACTGGACTTTCCTGCTGTTCAAATTAAAGTAACTGACATTGCTCAAATATTAGAGCAGGACAGAGTATGCTTGAGACAGCTAACGTGGGTCATAGATGTTAGGTTCCACATCACTGTGACTCCAGCAGAATGGCCAGTGAAACTGAACCCACTGTAAAACTGTCTTGTTATGCAACGTGCTTCATGGGGAAAATGCTACTACTTAAAACTGGAATCCTGAGGACCACTTGAAGCTATCCTAACAAGATGAAGGCAACATTAGAGACAGCAGACAAAAGTATTGAGATACTGTATGTCAGTGCTTCGGATGAAAAGAAAGACCCGTTTTTCACACCTTCATGTTCCATTCTAATGTTTGTACATTTTAAATAACCTTACACATGTCAATTTAGAAGGAGGAACACTGAATTTCACAAAGTTTTCCTTTAAGTGATGTGAAGAGTATGCTGGGATATGCATTTATTAGCAAAATTCACAGCTTTTACCACTTACCGTAAGTTGCTTTCATCCATGCAAAGAATGTAATCAAATGTTAGGAAATCATCTTTTGTAATCTAAAATTCAAAAGATATATTTAATTTTTAACTAAAGGGAAAAAAATAAGATTTATGAATAGTTAAAAATGCAATTGATTGCTATTTTAACAAGAAACAATGTTTTGCTATTTGATCAAGAATGCCATCTAGAAAGAAATAAAGATTCTAGTACAATACATAAAAATTGGTAACTATTGTCCTTTTGACAAATGTCCTCCAAACATCCACAACAAATAATTGAATACAGTTCCTAATCACAAGATCTTTATGAAAAGAAACTAACTGAAAACCTCCTTTAATGGTAATTACAGTGACATCTCAATTCAGTGGACTTTGATATAATGGACTTCATATCCAATAGATTTCCAATATGCAAATAAAGCCATCGATGGCTTTATGACACTATGTTTGCTATAGAACCAGCTTTGCCCCGTTACATTAGCCCATCCTGCTTCATCAGGCAGGAGAGATATATGACAGCCATCGTAACTCAAAGAATTTAGTCTGGTGGGGTCTAGGAAGAAAGCCTTCTCTGCCAGTGCCCCTGCATTATGGAACACCTTGCCCACAGAGGCCAACCTCCATGCTCCTGGCCTTCCGCAAAGGGGTCAAAACTTGGCTCTGTGGCCTTGGGGGGGGGGGAGCACAGAGGGCCATGCAACCAAGGGGCTATCTGGCCCCATGAAAACAAGCCTCCCTGCCTGTATTAACTAATGCTCCTTGGAGGATTGTGTGAGGCAGCTCAGTAGGAAGGTTATGCCTCACGTAGGCTGGCCACGCTTATCAACAGCTGAAGAAAAACAAGTGATGTTAATTGTGATGCTTTGTACATGCTGTGGATCCCACAGCCAGCCAAAGCCTCCCTGGCTGTAATAGATTTGTATTCAATAGTTGACTAGGTAGGCAGCTGAGATGTGGGGGGAGATCATGGGGGAGTTGCAGATGATCGTAACTGTAGGCAAGCTCCTGTGCCCAAAGTTTGTTCATGCAACTGTCCTTTCATATAGCATCACCCTAAACTGAAAATTATCTGTATAAAGTACTTTGTATAAAGTAGAATATAATACAATGTTCATGATTATATATTTTATACAATTTAAAATCTGAGATTTAAAAAATCTCATTTAAAATTTTAAAATTCAATGCTTAAAAATCATTAACTTTTAATCTGTCCTGGATGCCATCTTATTCAGCATGTGTAAACCCAACAAAGACATGCCCAAATGTCCAAGCTGAGGAAATGGCCAATGGCCAATGATATTCCCAGTAAAGATCTGTAGCAAAATCCCACATTCAGAAGTGGATCAGGTTACAGTGTTATCGGTATCTATAGCTTCATTTTTACAAAAATGTTGCACTGATTATTCAATATATAATGCTTTATCCACCTTTGCACAGAACACAAAACAGTTGTGGCATGCAGGTATGCCCGTGTTTTCTGAAAACACATGCACCCATGTTCACACACAGACACTTCTTTCTACCTGTCGTGCTTTATGAGCTGTTTCAATTTCATGATTTCTCAGACAGTTTAAAGCCCTTGGATCTGGATAGCGTCCCACATTCCAGTCAGAAACAGCACCACTGTCTATATTCCACTGCAAACAATAAGAACATAGGCAGACACACATTTAAAAAGAATATGGGTACAGTACCTGCCTGGCAATATGATTCATAGTTATGCCATGTTTTCTCATGCAATTCTGGCCTCGATAATCTGGAGAATTTCCTATTTCATATGTAGAAGTTGCTGCACTGTCTATCCTCCACTACAGAAAAACAAAGCAATTTATTTAAATAATGCTAGTATAAAAATGGCTTGAGTAATTACAATGAAGCTTACCTTGTTTTCAAGGTTTTCTTCAGTTACAAGTTTTCTAAAAACAGCTTCAGCTATGGGAGATCGGCAAATATTTCCTGTAGAAATAAAGGTTCAGTCTAATGATTCTAAAATACAACTTAAATATATTGAAAAAATATACGTAGTCAGGAGTCATGTAGGCAGGTATGAGGAAGAAGAAAAGGACAAACTATCTCCTTTTAATATTTAATTAATTTATATAGGGCATTCAGAAAGTATTCAGATCTCCTTCACTTTTGTCAATTTTGTTGACAAAATTGCTGCAGCCTGGTTCTAAGTTTGCTGAAATTCATTTTTTTTCTCATTAATCTACACTCAGTATCCCATGACAAAGTGAAAACAGAATTCTAGAAATGTCTGCAAATGTATTAAAAAGAAAAAGCTGAAATATCACATTGGCATAAGTATTCACACCATTGGTGGGATTCAACTGGTGTTATGGTTAATTGACTACGCTGCGCACGCGTGTAAAAGCACCTTTAGCTGTGCCGCCCGGACAGCTGAAAAGCACTGCACGCAGGTGCGCAGCGTTTGGAAAGCCACCTTTTTCCTGCTTTTTCAACCTTAGCTGTGCCGCAGAAAGCAGCTGAGGTTGAAAAAGCATAAAATAAAGGACAGGTAAGAGCCCGGGAGGGCCGGTAGACCAAAGAGCAGCAAACACAGAACCGGTTTGGTGTCTGCTGCTCTTCAGAGCTACCGGTTCTATAGAGCCGGGCAGAACCGGTAGCATCCCACCCCTGATTCACACCCTTTGTAACAACATTTGAAATTTAGCTCCTGTGCCTCCCATTTCTCTTGATAGTTGCTGACATGTTTCTGCATCTTGATTGGAGTCCACCTTTGGCAAATTAAATTGACTGAACATGATTTGGCCTCACAGCTGACAATGTATACTATAGCAGAGCAAAAGCCATGAGGTCAAAGGAATTCCCCGCAGAGCTCAGAGCCAGGATTATTGCAAGGCACAGATCTGGGGAAGGCTACAATAAAATTTCTGCTGCGCTGAACGCTCCTAAGAGCACAATGGCCTCCATAATTCTCAAATGGAAAAAGTATGGCACAACCGGGACTTCCAAGAGTTGGTCGCCCAGTCAAACTGAGCAATTGGGGAGAAGGGCTTTAGTAAGAGCGGTGACCAAGAACCCAATGATCATTGTGACTGAGCACCAGAGATCCTGTGTGGAGATGAGACAAGAGTTCCAGAAGGACAACCATCACTGCAGTCCTCCACTGATCTGGGCTTTGCAGCGGAGTGGCTAGACAGAAGCCTCTCCTAAGTGCAAAACACATGAAAGCCTACTTGGGAATTTAAAAAATAAAAACATCTGAAGGACTCTTAGACTATGAGGAACAAGATTCTCTGGTCTGATGAAACCACAAATGAACTGTTTGGCTTCAATTCTAAACGTTTTGCTTGGAGGAAACCAGGCACTGCTCATCACCTGCCCAATATCATCCCAACAGTGAAGCATGGTGATGGCAGCATCATGCTGTTGGGGGTGTTTTTCAGCAGAAGGGACTCGGAGACTAGTCAGGGTTGAGGGAAAGCTGAACGGAGCAAAGTACAGGGATATCCTCAATGAAAACCTGTTCCACAGCACTTAGGACCTTGGAGTGGGCTGAAGGTTCATTTTCCAACATTACAACATTCCAAAGCACATAGCCAAGACAACACAGGGGTAGCTTAGGGACAAGTCTGTGAATGTCCTAGAACGGCCCAGCCAGACCCTGACTTGAACCTTATTGACCATCTCTGTAAGTCGCCATCTAACCTGAGTTTGAGAGGATTTGCAAAGAAGAATGGCAGAATATCCCCCATTCCAGGTGTCATGTCATACCCAAAGATTCAAGTTATAATTGCTGCCAAAGGTGCTTCAACAAAGTATGGAATTGTACTGTACTGTATTCTGTCCTACACTATCTGTTTTCTGTTTATAGAATTACTAGGACAGTACTTTTAAAATTAGTTAGATCTGGTTGTATTTAGTAGAGAATAGCTGCAACTAAAACGGTGCCTATCAAATTTAATTCACTCATTGGGATCACACAGCACTTTAAACTATAAGTTATTTGCTGGTTTTATGACAAATTATTCAAGCTCACATTTGGCTAGCTAAATGTTATTACTTAGTGTATGGAATAAACCACTGGGGCTTATTCAATAAGTTATGATTATACATAATATAAACCAAACCATTGCTTAACTTATTTTCTGTTCTGTAAATATTCAAAGAGAAGTTAAACACACTATTTAGAAAATTATTTGCATGTTCTTTAATGCAATTATCAGAAATTAAATGAGTCATGACTCTCCTGTCATGATGACATAACAGAAATTTGGGCCTTAACCTCTACAGATCATTCTGATAATAAATGTTATTGAATTTAACATTAACCTTGGTGTAATTATGCATAGGATTATAACTGTGCCTAATTTTCTGCAGGTTACAGTAATAGATCACCAAAACCATGGTGTACCAACAAGACAAACTGAATAGAGAATATTTTAATAAAGTCTTCACAGTAAAGGTAAATATTTCAAGCAACACAATGGCAACTGAAATGGTCACTAGTAAATTCTTTCAGTGACGGAACTGCACTCTAACAATCACAAATTTATAGTAATAAAGTCCCAGTAAATAATTCTGAGTAGTGGTAGCTATAGCAAACCACAATCATGTCAAAATACTGACACATACTATATATGGTAAGATCACCATGTAAATACTGTGATACTTGGGTCCCAGCATCTGATCCAAATATGTATGTCATAGCATTTGAAGGAGGATATCATAGCACATTTTATCACTTGTTTCCAATGACCCCCCCTCCACATGTTCATTAGTCTGAGTTGTGGATTAAAGACTTATCAGAATGCAGATGTCTGCCCACTCTTGCTTCACTTTTCCATGTATGTGAAGTTATATTTTAAGACACTTAAAAGAGGCATTTGTAAGGGTGATGAAACTAACATCTACCATGATTGCTAGTATTACCAAGAATCAGTTAAAAGTGTTAATATTGACTGAGGAACCTTTATTCCCGTGATAGCGAACCTACGGCACGCTAACTTACCTCACTGCACACATACGTGCCTCACAGCTGATTTTCAGCGGGTTTGAGGCCTTTTTCAGACTCCCAGAGGCGTGAAGAAGGCTTCTGCAGGCTTTTCAGGCCGAAAACTAGGCCTGTTTCATCACTTCCTGTTTTTTTAGAAATACTGGAAGTAATGAAACAGGCCTAGCTTTTGGCCTGAAAACCCTGCAGAAGCCTCTGGGAGGCTGAAAAAGGCCTCAAACTGGCCAAAAATCAGCTATGAGGCACATTGCAGATAAGGGGGCGGGTGGGTGGGTGGGGATTGTGCGTGCATGCATCAGGGGAATGCACATTGCCTTCTGGGTGCTGGCACATGAGCGCAAGCACATGCATAATTTTTGGCACAGGAGCCCCAAAAGGTAGCCACCACTGCTTTACTCTGTCAATCAATCTGCATATTAAGCTTTCTTTTTGTAGCAGTTATGTGTGTGTGTGTGTGTGTGTGTGTATTTTCTTAAGTTTTTGTGGGTAGTTACATGTATGGTATTCGGCTCAATACAGAAGCCTGATGATGGCAGATGAGATTCTGCCGAAATGTTGCTACAACTTTAAAAGCACAATTATAATGACGTGGGAAAATACCCGAACAAAGCTGAATACCATACATGTAAGTACCATAAGAGTAATCATATCTGTAGGCATAAGTAAAAGTGCTTTTAGGCAGTACATATTAGGCATTTAATTTTTTTTTCTTTAAAGGACAGATTGGCATATCTTCTTTAAGAATTCCCATTTACAGCTGCCCCAAGTTTCGGTGCCTCATTTGTGAATGACAGGAGCCCCATTGGTACAAACCCAAACAAGAAATAGAGTTGATCTTTTAGAGAATTGTTTATATTATGAATTAAATCCTATTTGCTGTTTTTTTTTTTTAAAAAAAAATCAAAGTCACTTGTTTCAATTAATGAATGACTTGGGTCCTTCAAGTACATGTCACAGCGCCTTAGTGAAAGTCTGCCCTCTGCAGAAATGATGCACGCTCGCCAAAATAAAGTTTATCCTCCCGCCGTTACAGTTATATATCTTCGTGAATCAGAGGGCCGGTAAACTGAGTTTTAGGGTAAAAGAGCAGCCCTCCCTTCTGCTGATGTAGTATAAATGTGTAAATGCCGATGCCAGAGATGCAGGCAAAAGATGCAACTCAGGAAAAATGCAAGGAAGGAGCGGCAAAGATGAGAGATGAGAAGTAAGGAATACGTGCAATTGAAAATAATAGTCCTTATCTGTCATTCTTGGGAACAGCGGGAAAAAGAGGGAAAGCAGTAAATTAAAATTCATTTAATTTTAATCTTTCCTATCTCGTCTCTTTATTGGTCCCTGCATCCCCTGTATAAAGGGGAAAACCAATAGCTAATTTGCCTCCCCCCCTTTTTTTTGCCAACCTCCCCACCCCTCCCTAAACAAAAAAACCGCCACTCACCAAGACATACGAATAAAACGGACTTCGCTTTATCCGCCGCCATGATAGCTCAAAACCCCCGAAAGGCAACGGGCGAAGGAAAAGCGGACTAAGCCGTTCCCCAAGTGACGTAAAACCTCCTTTTGCCGCTTTACGGCAACGGCCAGGTCCGTCTACGTTCATTGCCTGCACGTTAATTTAAAATGTCAGGACCAGAGACATTTGTGGACTCTTTGGACAGGGAATACATAGAATTTCAAACCAGGAGCCAAAGGTATTGGCAAAATGTCCGTCAACCGGCGCGGTTTCCTTCGGTCGTTTTTTTTTTCCCCCTTCTAAAAATCAGGCACTCGGGAAGTCAGCTATTCCCCTCCCAAATGCACCTGCTTCAGGTGAGCAGCAGGAGCAGCAGGAGCAGCAGTAGCCTGTGTCTTGCCCAGGCGAAGGGTTTCGGTGGGGATGTGACTGCGTGCCTTTTCTCGCGTGGGTGAACGCGCGGCTTTTAAGTCAAGAGGAGCTTTTCCAACCAGGGACGGACGGCAAAAGTGAGTAGATCTGGATGAGGCTGATCTGGGAAGGAGAGGGTTTCATATATTGGGATTTTGAGAAAGGTTGTGGGGTTAGTCCGGGAGGTCCGCGTCTGCCTTCCTTGTGCTTCCTTGTGTTGCATGGGTTGCCTTGATAGAAACCTGGTGTATTTGTACTTGGCTGTTATGAATATGTATTTGTATGTGTATTGGGCTTGCAATCAACGTGTGGGAAAAATAAATCTACACCTTCTAAAACGAAACGCTTTATATCTCCTTTATAATCTTTGAGATTATACTAATGATGTGACTTCTTTATTTGATAAAGGCAGGATAAGAATCTAGCAAACATATTTCAAGGACAGAGGCAAACATGACTCTGACACATACATGGTCTTTCCATGCAGCTTGCTGAGGCTTTATTTCAGGATGGGGATACGTTTTTGTTTTTTGACTTCCTAGTTTAGCCTATAGTATAGCCCTTATTTTTCCTGATACTCTCCCATCACCCCCAACCATGCTTGAGCTATGAGTAAACCAGACAGAGCAAACCTGTGCTGCCACCTGCTGAGGTAAAATTATGTTTGGTTTATTATTGTTGTGATCAATGGGGTTGAAGGGCAGCCAGGCTGATTGATTTGATTTCCCCCCTCTGGTAATTTATGTGATTAAAAAAAAGAAGAAATTGTTGGGAAATAGTTTTATAGACATATACATGTAAAAGGAGGAAGCATCTATAGCATATTACTGTGAAAAGATACTTATAGTTCTTTGATTTTGGGATGCTGTAAACTAATGCTGCTCTCCTAAATACGTATAAAGAAGAACCATGAATGGAGTTTTATAATCAAAATGTAATTTTGGAAGCATCCAAGAGTTACTAGAATAAATTTTACAACTGAGTTGTAATCTAGGCCAGTATCTACTTTGTGCTAATGGGGTGGGGGGTGGGGATTGTCAGAAATTGTGGCAAAAGTAGTACCAAATGTACTACCCAAATAGTACCCAAGTAGTACCCAAAGTACTACTTTTCAGTAGTAACTGAAAACTTCTCACTTTATAATATTAACTGTCAATTCTCAACACACATCAGCAGTAAAAACTGTTCAGAAGAGGCAGTGAAATATCACAGTGATTACTTTGTGTATATAGTTAAGGCACCATGTTAGAAACTGAGTTGTTTTCCCACTTTAGACATGAAAGACTGAAGGATGACCTTGGACCAATTATAGTGTTAGCTCAACCCATCTCAGCAGGTGGTTGTTGTATGGAAAATAGAAGGAAGGAATATGTTCATTGTCTTGAGTTATTTATAAAAATAAAGTGTGTGTGTGTAAATAAATGATCCATATTGACCCTACTTCTATTAATTGCTTTCAAAAAGAAGTAGTTATCCAATCTGTAAGTTAGGAGCTATATAGGTATTACCTTCTGTGGTGTTGGACCCTGAAGTAGCCTTAAAAATTCTTGTGGTTAGTTAATTGGATAAAGTGTTCTTAACACTTGAAAATCCAGATAGACAATAAGCCCTTGCTCCAATTTTTCTTTCCTCATTTGTTTCAGGCAATAAACGGAGGACAGACTAATAGAAACCAGAAGAACAGACTTTTTTTAAAAAATGCCATGCAGTTCTTTAACTATTTCCCATTATAAGTTGCTGAATAGACAAAACTAAGGTGAACCGGGCATGGGATTTCATATATCCATGCCAAAAAGCAGGTCTGGAAGACCTCTTAATATCCTTTTTTAGTCTTCTCAGTCACTTGAATATTGAAAAAAAGATTAAGAATAAGGGATTCAAGACACAGGTAATCTGCCTCTAAAAAGAATAAGGGAAAAAGGGAGAAAGAATAACTACATCTAAAAAGTGGTTGGATCTTGATAAGGGTACTGCAGAGGGAGAAAATATACCCTAATGTATCCTTTTAGGAGAGACAGTTTAGAAGCAGATCAAAATCTAGAGAAGATTCCTCCATTCTTCAATTCTCCTTCCTGGTCACATGACCAAAAGGGTTGATGTTGTTAAGACACTTTCAAGTTTCCCAAGTTGTTTACTTGTTTAGGCTCTAGGCATTTATCCATTTAAGCTGCAACTGTTGTTTATTATAAGAGCTGTAACTCTTCACTCACACACTAGGAGACAGGTCCAACTCCACAACACTTAACTAAATTGTTATGTCACTTATGCTTTGACTATAGTCCTACATGAGGTTAATCTTGAAGATAGTTGAAGAGTTGAATTTAATTTAAAAATATTATTAGCCTTGGCAGGGTAAAACTCTGTCTCCAGATATCTAGCCTTTGTTTAGGAATTGGCTTCTTAGCAGAAGACTCATGACTACAATGGAAAGATTTCATTAATTTATAGCAGGCAAGCAGGAAGCCGTCTGTATACAATACATTTATCTACTGTAACACATAAAAGTAAAAGCTCTTCTTTTTAAGTTTCTGGGTTTAAATGATTTTTCCTCCTGCCTTTCTGAGTTAATGGAAGCTATTAAAACTTATTTTTGTTCAGTAACTTTTTTTCCTAATTAGGAAGCTGCTGGTAGCTTCAATTTTTTATAATTCTGTGGATATCTATGGAGATTCTCCAGGAGTGGGATCCGACAGGGTTAACTACTGGTTCGGGATTTACGAGCTAACCTGCAGGCTGTGAGCCACGGGCCTGTAAATCGTCATCAGCAGCTGCCTGCAGAGAAGCAGCCTTTGAAATAGCCCTCTTTTCTTGCTTTTTAAACTGCAGCTGTGCCTCGTTCGGCAGCTGAAAAATCAGGAAATAAAGATCAGGTAAGAGCCCGGGTAGGTGGGCAGGCAAAAACATCAGCAGACATAGAATCGGTTCTATATCTGCTGCTCTTCAGAGCTACCGGTTCTACAGAGGTGGACAGAACTGGTAGAAACCCGCCCCTGAGATTCTCAGTCATCCAGACCATGGTTGTCCCAAAGGTGCTCTTTTTCAAGAGGCAACTGGGCTTTCTGATTTTTCTTTGAAGACGTTTCACTTTTCATCCAAAAAGCTTCTTCAGCTCTTATCCAAGAAACTTCTGGGATGAGAAGTGAAACGTCTTCAAAGAAAAAAACAGAAAGCCCAGTTGCCTCCTGAAGAAAAGCATCTTTGGGACAATTCTGTGGATAATTTTAGCAGGGGATATCTATGAGTAGCCTATCATTTATAATTGCACGTGACTGCATTGGCTCCTATTTAAATTTTAGGATCAAAAATGTTAGGATCATTGTTCTACTTATGACTGTTAAAGTCCTGAATATACTGTTGTGCTTGTGATATCTTTTGATTTCCTTCAGGTACTTAGATTGACTGGGAATTCCCACCCCCAACTCCCCCCCAAAATAGGTTAAAGAAGTTTCAAGTTATATCTTCCTTTAGAGCTGTATTGAATGTTTTGCTCAGGGAAAGCTATTCAGCTAGCTCCTTTTACCTTGGGTTGTTCTCACAGGTGCAATAATTGTTCAAATGTTTTCCCCTTTTCTCTACTGTTTGATCTGCTTGAAGTAGAATATTACAACAGATGTGGACAAAATCTATTAATGTAAATACATTCACAGTAAAAATTAAAATTGAAACTCGAGAAAAATTGGATAAGGAAGTAGTAAGTCACTTGTTGCAAAGGACTGGTAGATGCATTGTAGCCCTGGAATAAGGTAATTTTTTCCCATTTTCTGCAGCATTTTATCCTATATTCCAATTATTTCAGATGATCCTCATCCTTTCATAGCATATGCCCAGAGAAATCATAACTGTGTTAGATGGAATGGATAAAACCAGGTACTTTAGTTCCTGACAGCAGAATTATTTAGCTGTGATTGAATGATAAATTTTATTAATACATTCAGTAAACTTTCAGATTCTAATAATCATCTTTAATATTAATTAGGAAATTTTTATGAATATCTCAAATAATCTAGCCTCCACCTCATTGTTGGTATATACATTGGCTATACATTTAAATCAACAAATGTATGTTATTCATTAAATAAAGATATGCAAATGGTATGTGAGCTTTGGGGTGTTTATTGTTATCTCTGGTGTTTCGTCATCTTTTTGAAAACAGCTGCAAAAGGAAGATTAGTGTTATCAACAGCAGAGAACTGAAAGAATATAGTAGTAGTTATGTAGTCCTCCAGTTCGGTGATGATTGGGGCTCAAATTTCCATTGCTAAAGAATGCAGTCATGAATGTGATATCACATGACTAGTGATGGCAATCCTAGCACTTATTGTCATTAAGCAAGGATCACAGGTCATTAAGCAAGGGCGTCGTATGAACACAATGTGGGAAAGCTCATCCCAGACATGCAGGCCTGTGGGTGCAATAGGGTGCAGATCGATAGGTGCCAAAAGGGTGGGCACCACAGGGTATGGGTAGGCATGCATTACTGAGCTCAAGATCCCCATGTTACCCAGGGTTCCACAGGAGAAAAAGCAGCAGGATTGCAAGTAACTTGCAACCTCCTGCCAGCTTCCTCTTTGAAGTTTCTCTTTGACTTTGTTTATGAAAACTTAGCATGGAAGCTTAGACATGGTGATCACATGACCACGGGACACTGCAACCCTTATAATTGTGAGTGCCTGAAAAAGTGCCTGAATTGCAATCATAAGAC